AGATGGACCTTCTTTGACCCAGTATAGAAAGTGGAAGTTGGTTAGGCCTGAAAACTTTGACGAGTGAGCTATGGCCCATAACCTATTGAGTCTCATTCAGTTCAGTTCGTACAATGCCAATGATCATGAGCTTGACATGTACACGTTGGGTTAGGCCTAAGTAAGTTTGGACTTCATCTGGGCCACAGGATTTCTTGCGCAGGATCCAAGTTGTCTCTGTTGTGAGCTTTGTGGCACTAGGCCTGGCCCACTACCCATTAGGATATCTGATACCCACTCTACCAGCCACTAGGCTTATGCACCCATTGTACAAGAGTACCCTTTTACCATACAAATTGGGACTGCAAAAGAAAAACGACCAATTACATAATTTAAATTGTGCTAAATTATATATATGTATGACATTCTTATTGTACAAATGAGAATTTGGACGGTGAAGCTTTTCAATTTTTTTAGTCTCTCGAGCCGAAAGTTTAAAATTTATGCTTTTTTTTTTTTGCAGAGAAACCTCAACTTCTAGTTGTAGAAATGTCTTCAAGGAATCTAAATCGAACCTTCGGCGAAAAGGGGGGGAATCAATGCTACTTCTTAACAAAACAAACGCTTCAAGTTAGATCAAAACCTCTTTTGCTACCTTTGCATATAATTCATTGTAGTGGGATCAATAATTGTTGAGGTTCAAAACCATAGTATACACACAAAAAAATACAAAAGTGCCAGAGAGAAAAATAAAGGGTGTGTAGGATTTATAAAGATTTGGCCTAACATCCGTGTGTTTAGTGCATGTAGGTGCCTCTGGTTTTGGTGCTCTCCCTTATCTGTAGAGAAAGCTAGATGTCATAGATCCCTCTCCCTCCCTAGTCCTAGTGGGCAAGCAAAGCAACCAAAAACCAACTATATTCTTTTCCTCTCATTTCTTTTTCAATTTTGGGTTGTGACAAGAGATTCCAACACCAAATCCCTTTTATGAAATCACCTTTCATGTAATTAATATATGTTAATTAGGGACACTAAAGTTAGGTTAATTGTGGATGAATGTGGCCCAATACAAGTGCCATATCCACTACTTGTTTGTTTCTGTGTCTAATTATTATAAAAAAATACTAATTTATGCAATCTCTTGCCAACAATTTCTATGATAATAATGATAAGATACAGTACTGCTCCCTAGCCTTTTCAAAGTTCCAAATGAGTACTATATTAGTACTACAATATTCTTATACCAAACTATAATTCAACGAAAAAGTCAAACCTTCCCAAATCAACGACAGTTAAGCACCAAGGAGGAATCCAACTAGGAATTCAAATTATTTGCTTTTGAGATAGATGGAGACAGGGAAGATATTAATTGATCCGGAGATCATTTATAATTTTATATTTATCATTTATAAAATGTTACGAACTTATAATTACTTAAAAAATATATCATTTATGTAAAAGTTTAAAAAATTATTTTAGAAAAATAAAAAGTATTGATTCTCGCTTGAATATTATCAAATTCAGGATCGACTTGTTTACGTTCACTTTAAGTATTAAATGTTTCAAGTTTTATGGATGAGTTTACAAATTACAATTCATACGGTATTTTGGTACTTATCAGTCAATCAACACATTACACAAATTGTAATATGGTTTATGTATATAATTTATTACGAGAGGAGTTAGATATATGCAGCCACCTTTCAAACTGTGACTACTGAAACCTTTTACAACAACATGTACAGGAATTGTGTGCACGAAAAGTGACATACAACCTAAACAGTGTAGTTAGATCACTGGTAATTCCATACTTATCATGTGATTTTATTAGGTGGTATCTAGCTAATGAGTCTCTTATGCATTGCCTTTACATTGGAGCACTTAATAAATTGGCTTAATCACATAAGATTGGAAATTAATCCATTGATTAAGTAGTTAATGAATTAACAAAACATGCTTACAGGTTCCTTGAGATCTCCTCATCATGTCTTGACAAGAGCTACTGTAAGATTATTTGGAGTCCATTCACACCATCCAAAGTCGGTATTTTTGCTTGGCGCCTCTTCTTAAATCGACTTCCTACCAAGAACAACCTAATAATTCGTGGTGTTGACTTGGCTTCCAACCCAAGTTGTGTCCTTTGTGGGGATTGCATAGAAGACCTCAATCATATCTTTGCCACTTGCCATTGTTCTCAAAATGTCTGGAAGTGGGTTTGCTACTGGTGGGGGGTTCCTTTTATTCCTACTGCAAATGCTCCCTTGCTGATTACTGAGCTTTGTTCACTTATGGATGCCAGGAAATCATGGAACTATTGGGCTTTATCTATTCAGAAATGGTATTGTGTTCAATAAACTGAATTGGGAAGAAAACAACATTTATGGTCTAATTCAAACTAAAACTTTTTGTTGGATTAAAGGAAAATCAAAATCTACAGTGTTCAGTTTTGGTGATTGGTGTCAATTTTCAAATCTTTGTGCTAATGGCATTTAGACTACAAAATGTAACTCTTGTCTTCCCATTTCTTTTGTAAGGGTGCTCTTTTAATAAATTTTGATTCATCAAAACAAAAAAAACAAAGATTAGTGTTGATTAGATACTAGTAAGTAGGATTGGATTATCTCTTCTAATTAAAAGTGCTCAATAGCTAGGAAAGCTGATGCCATATTCCAAGTGGCTTTGGGTGAAAAGAAACGAATAACCATTGATGCTAAAATCATGAAGCATTGAAACAAAGAATATACTATTATTTAGAAGACAAAATGGCTTTTGGTGATGAACTTGTTTATCACGACCACCGATTGAAAAAAAAAACACACAAAATCTGCTTAACCTTCTTTTAGTTTGGTATGCATTCATGTTTGGAACATGGAGTATATGAATCATGATTGGCAATTAGGATAAACAAAGTGCCGTCTCCAAGTAGATTAATCAAACTCCTACTATGTATTTATTATATTTTTTTATTATTAATTTATATAAAAAAATTATTTTAAATTTAATTAATTATTTTATATGATATTAATGTTAAAAATAATATTTATTTTTATAATTTCTTTAAATAATTTAATAATTAAAAAATATAATAAATATATCATTAATATATACATTTAAAACATATATGACTACGAAAATATAATGTAATTATTTACTTATTAATAATTATTTATTAATAAAATTAGTTGTACTTTTATTAGGTTATTGTCAACCCCGGGTTTGGCTTTATAAGTGTGAAGGCTCTGCTTTTTAGGAAGAACAAGGGGTGAGATTTGGTGAACGTTTGAAAATGATCATCTCCACCGAAAGCAACGTTGGACGCTGGCTAGCTGCCATTACTTTCCCAACAACTCCTCAAAGCCAAGTGACACTCTCTTTCTCCTCCAAAACCCTCACCAATGTCAGCTCTCCTAAACCCAATTGCCCGGCTCTTCATCAGCATTCTGTTCACGGTATCTATTAGGGCCGCTGTTGGAGTTAGTCATGGTGCGTGTAACGACACCTGCGGTACAATCCCAGTCCAATTCCCTTTTGGAACTGGATTTGGATGCGGCCACCCTTTCTTTGCAAGATATGTCAAATGCAGCGTGGGGACACTTGAGTTCTCTACTGTCACGGGCATTTACACTGTTTCCTCCATTGACTATCCAACAAGAACCGTCATTGTGACAGACCCTCTCATGTCAAATTGCTCCTCAATGCAGAACTCTGGAAGCTTCAGCTTGGATCGAGCCAGCCCCTTCACTCTAACAGACGACAACATCTTTGTTCTGCTAGGCTGCTCCACAACATCCCCTCTTTTCGATCCGAGTGTAGATTCGTGCGATACTGGGTCAAGTTCTCGAGTTTGTAGAGGTTTGTATTCCTGCAAAGCGGTAACTGGAATTGGGTTGCCGCAGAATGCACCCATATCCACATGCTGCGTTTATGACTCACCAAAAGGCGTAGGCTATTCTCTGGATCTTCCTAAACTCCAATGCTCTTCATATACTTCAATTTACGAATTTGGGGACGAGGGGGATCCAACGAAATGGAGATTCGGGATTTCTTTGCAGTACAATGATTCCTATTACACAGATGCATGCAAGGATTGTGAAAGTAGTGGAGGTTTATGCGGGTTTGCTGGAATGGAAGAGTCATTTGCTTGCATTTGCAAGGATGGTGTGAACACTACAACTAATTGCTTGGGACATGGTTAGTTTTTTGTCAACATTAATTCTAGACTTTTGTTACTACTCTGTTTTTGATGTGCTTTTGTTGTCAATATGATTAGGGTATGCGTGGAACGGTGGGACATGGGAACCCAAAATTCAAGCAAATATGATCATTGGAGGTACATTTGCATATATAAAATTTCATTTTCACTATTGCCTTTTCTTTTTGTTTAGCTTTTCAATACCTTTTTTTTTTTGTTTACTTTATCTTCTTTCTTGTTCATTGTAGTATGCGTGCTCTTGTGGACTTTGCTATCTTTTTGAACTTTGAGGCAGTATATGGGAATTGTTTGCAAAATGCCAATTCCTTCATTTGATTGAACTACAATTGATAAATTAGTAATGTCTTTTCTTCTTCTTTTTCTTTTTCCTTTTTTTTGACAATATTATATAGTAATATCCGATGATTTTTGAATTGTTCCATCTTACCATTTGCTTAGATGCTACAACATTAACTTGTTCTCTGTATGTACCAAATAGTTGTTAATATCAACATGGACTCAATATACATTGATACCATAAAAAGGAGGGCAAATGTTTTAAACATAAAGATGTGATTAAGTTGTTAGAGTCATTTCATTTTTTATATAGTATAAGCAAAACAATGTGCATTATCTAGAGCAATCCACCAAATACAACACCAATTATCTATAAGGAAAGAAAAAGGCAAATCCACTATGCAAATCCAACGTGGATGATATTTTACTAAAATGATTCACTAATAATGACCACTATATATTAATAATAAGGTGAAAAAATAAAAGATGATTACTTTTTTTCATACAATTTATTATAATAATAAAAAAAATCATGCTAACAATAATGAATTTTTCTTATGTGAAAAGATATTTGTAAGCATACACTAAAAATTCAATTGTATACTAATGGTGCAATCATAGGAGTTCAATCATTGTTAGCAAGGGAATCGATCAAATTATTATTATTTTCTACTTTAAAATTTTATTGGCTTATTATTCGATAATGTCAAAATGTCAAAATTCCATGAAACTTTATCTTTTCATATTTTTCTATAAAATATAATGTCTTCATATTATTTTCCATTTACAAATTTTATTGGCTTATTACTTCATAATATCAAAATTCCAATGAACTTAATCTCTACATGGTTTCACACATATATCCGGTAAAACTCCTTGCAATTGTACCTTTCCATGAGTGGAATGTGATGCAAATTTGGTCCCCACTATTCTGTGACATGATTAAGGTTGGGACCATTTAGTGGAGTGGGTGTCCTTCAGGGCCTGGCTCGAAGCACGGCCTTTACACGGCGTCAGCCGTGCATAGTGCCAAAGCACAATGGGACCTGCTGGGCGGAGTTGGTGGCAGGCAGGGCATAAAGTGGTGGTTCTGCTGGCGGTGATGGTGGTGGGGTTTCTTGTAGTTTTTGCTATCCCACCAATGTTCTTGGGTCCCAGCGTCCGACTCATCACTCACCTGAGCTAGGCCCCCACTCAAGCTAGGTCGCCTCCTCCAACTTCCAGCTATATTTCACAACTCAAGACATGCACTCATTTATGAATAGAATTCGAACGTGAAACTTTTTTGATGTAGACTTCACTGTCGGAACAATGTCTCTTTGGCCCGAATTCAATCACTTCATTTTAACAGCTAGAGAGGGGAGAATATGAAATTTGATTCAATTTCGAGGCAATATCACATGCAATAATGCAAAAGCCGGCCAACTCCCTGCTACTACTACCAAAGCTGAAGATGCTTTTGCTTCGTGCAGCTTTTGGACTCTTTCTTTACCCTTCTGCACAATCCATACTTTCCAAAAGGCCAGACTGAACCTCCTCTCCAGATACTCCATGAATCATGTTAACATTATCTTATCCACCTCGGGAATTCATCACAGTTAGCACGCACTCTGGTTTTTACAACAAAAATTACAAAATTAATGGGTGAACGGTAATAAACGAATAAGATGACGATTTCTGATGTGGGTTTGGAGATTTTTTAAGAGAGGCAGGCAGCATAGGATCAAATCACAAAGCAGTAGGAGGAAAATTGAAGAGAAAGCCACAATAGTTTGTTGCTGCTTTTACCCTCATAGTTTACGCTTTATTTTCTATATAAAATGATAGTGCTTTCTTTTCATCATATGCACTGAGAAGAGTTGTTTCTTTTAAGTGCGGTTCAACTGTAGCTTAGATATCGACCCAAGAAACCACCCCAAAATGCCTCTCCCCAAAATAGATATCGATGTTCATGTATTATTACATCAGAACCACAAAATTCCTTTCCAGATAGTGGAGGCCTTGGAATCATTTCCGTGTATCTTGTAAAGCAAGATCATGAATTTCTATAGATTTTGATCGATGCCCTAAAAAAATAATGACATCAATTTCTACTGCTCAAGTTAAGTTAGTTTATAAAGATTCTATTTCTGGAAAGACAATTTTACTTGTGGCTTAACATGACATGGAATGGCCGAATCAAACTAGCTTCGATGCACTTTCCTTTGTTATCAATATTATTGTTATTGTTCTTGTTTTCCACATTGAGCGCATTCGAAGAAGGAATGTCTTAAATGAAAAAGGAATCGATCATAATGAAAGTCCAGATACCCGGATTGATGCTAAAGATTTCCTAGGGAAGAATATTGTTCCTCGATCAAGTTAAATCAATCACCAAGTTGTTTCTCTCAAATAGGATGACATTAGATTAGGTTCACACTAAATCAGAATTTTGATTCTGTTTCCTAGTATAATCAGCCTGTTTTTGTTATCTTTGATCCTAGAAATGTCTATTGATGGATCTTAGAATTAGAGGCAAGCATCAATCCCTTCAGATAAACTTGAATCTTGTGCAGGTCAACTGTTACATTTATGCAAATTATACGGTACACTTGAATGGTATAAATAATGCTTATGATTCACTGGCTTGCAATTTTGCATCCATCAGGTTCATCTTTTTTTTCTTTTTCTTAAAAACGAAAGAATTAGCTCAAAATGATTTCGGTAACATCTACATCTTCTTTTTTTTCAAAGAAATTAAATCTTAATAATATATAATAATAATTAGATACCTTAATTTTAATACTGACTCATTTAAATTTTTATTTATTGTTAATAAAGTGAGAATGAAACCCATAAACGTAATCAATCCTATAAGATGATCACTACAGTGGAATGGGAATTTAGGCATGATATTAATTCTCTTTTATAGATTTGAAGCTGAGAGGCCATGAGAATCAGCATCAAAAACCTTGCCATCACGTTTGATACGGAAGGAATTAGATCTCCCCCATGATGCGTACAATTAGCTTTCCATTGGTGCTTCTCGTGGGTCCTAGACGCTCAATTGGTCCAGCAGTCGGGTGGGCACAACCAACACAAACACCATGGCCCAATGATCCTGATCAGGATCTGAGTTTGAGAGAGGAGGAAAATAAAGCAGGAAAACAGGGCGAAATCCGTGACTACAATTAAGAACCACAACGCTCCCTGTTTTTCCCCCCTTATAAATACCCACTTCACCTTCCATGGTTTCTCAAGTTCCGTCACATTTCCTCTGCTTTTCTCAACCAACTCCTCCCCAACCTTGCTTAAATACTCAGTAAACAAGAGAAAATGAGACCAATTAGCACTTCCCAGGTTGCAGTTCCATCTCCGGTAATGGCACCACCACAGAGATCTCCATGGCACTCTCCGGTACCGTACCTGTTCGGAGGCCTAGCAGCTATGCTTGGTCTCATTGCTTTTGCACTCTTGATCTTAGCTTGCTCTTACTGGAGGCTTTCCGGCCGGTTCGACAACGGCGAAAGAGAAGATAGAGATCTCGAGAGTGGTGAGAAAGAGGGTACCGAAGATGCTGCCAAGCAACCCACGGTCTACGAGGAGAAGATTCTGGTGATAATGGCCGGTCAGGAGAAACCCACCTATTTAGCAACTCCCATCACCTGTAAAGCTTCTTCTTTTAATAATAAAATTGGCGAGACGGAGAAGAATGAAGGATCAGAGAAAGTCGAGAAGGTGAAACCAGAAGTGGGTGATCAAGAGCAAGAACAAACTCAAAGACCAATTGAAGAAACGGAGAATCAACAACAAACCCAAGAACAAAACTAAAAATAAGTGTAATTCACTCTTTTTTTTCTTTTTTTTGGCCTTTTTTTTCTCTCTTTGAAGATTGGAAGAGAAAATGTCCTCTTTTTAATTTGAGCATTTTCCCATGTTCTTCTCCAATTTTGGTTGAATGTGTTCTAAATCTAGAGTAGTCATCTTTTCTCTGCTATGCCGAGAAAATGAAATGTAGAAAATCTTTCTGAGATCAACGATATGAGAATTACAGCCAATTTCCACTCCTCTAAGTCTTTCTATTGTTTCCATGCATTTTACAGTTGGCTCACCGGCTTTTCATGAAATTACTTGTTTCAAAAGCAAACTAAACCCCGAAACGCCACAAGTTATTTTACAGTAAAAAACAAAAAGAACATAGTACCACCACCATATCAATTAATGGGTTTCAAATTCTCCAATTCATTTCACCAAAAAAAAATTCTCCAATTCATTAAATGAAAATAAATATATATAATATATTATGGGAACAATAATCTTTTGGTTGAAGCTGTGAAGGTAGTTCTGAATAATTTTTAGTTCTAACGCAGAATAAAGCAGAGAAAACGACTTCGAGGACATATTCTAAAATGCTTTCTTCTTCGCCGGCTAAGTGTCCGGCCTTACCCGGTGGAGGATTGGAGGGGGAACATTAATTGAGTGGGGAAGAGATAACGTGAGTTTCTTGAAATGGAAAACGCGGTGGTAGTTGATTAGTCAGTTCGTTACGGTTGGAAAGCAACGTAAAAACTTGAGCAGCACAATTGTCTCTTCGGTGCTGCGCGGCGACGCGAAGATTGAGCCAACATTTGCATCTTGCCTTTCCTTCTTTTTATTTCTGAAAATATTACTTTAAGGGCTGTTCCAATAACTTTTATAAACTTTACTAAGTTTTTTAAATAATTTCATATATTAATATTATGTTAAAAAACAAAAAAATAATATGTGTACGTATTGATCCAACACCCGGATGTGCATATCTTCCATAAAAAAAAAAAAATAGATCAAGATATGCACCGATGATAATCTTAAAAAATAATATTTTAATTTTTTTATTGTTTAACATAATTTTTAATCTATATATTTTTCCCTCACCTTTCTCTCATGGAAAACCGAAAGACTTCCTTCCAACTTCGCTTGTATAAGTTTTCGCGTTACAACTTTTTTTATTAATTTTTATTATATTAATTTTTCATTAAATATAAAAATTTAATAATTTATTAAAATTTTAACAAAATTTTACAAGAAAATTCATCATCATTTTATAATATTTTTTAAACTAATTTTTTAATAAAAACTTTTAAAGGCTATTTACTATAACATTTCAAAATTAATGGTTAATTATTTTATTTAATCTAATTAATAATTTAAATACTATTATT